TTTCAATCTTTCAGCATGTTTGAGTTTGAATATGGAATGTTTTCTACCTTACGAGAAATACACTTATAATAATTTATGCTTGCAGCGATTTTCTAGGTCAAATTTTATTTTTATAAGACACTTAACGTTCAAAGATCAACCGTTAAAATATATAATTCATCTATACTACTACATAAATAATATTTATTCACTAGTTTCTTTTTTTTTTACAATTTCTTTTTTACAATATATTTTTATGATCGAGGGAATTATTTAACGGATAAATAAAAGAAAGTACTGGGGACAGCCGGTATTTTAAAATTTTTTTTAATCTAACCAAAGGACTATCTCATGTCACTATAACAAATCCGTAAGTCACTAGATAATAAAAAATCAAATAGTCAAATTCTAAACACAACTTCTCATTGTTTATTATTGTAGGAAACGTCCATTTAATTAAAATTAATTATTTAGAGTAAAAATATAGGCATTAATCCATATATAAAAAGATACGTTTTCTATGACGATAATGATGGAACATTATATTGTTTTGTAGTAATTTTTTCGTCTATATAAATCTTTTTACCGCTTATATGTAAAAGTATTCTAACATAGTAAAATTAGTAATATAATAGTATGGATAAATGGTATGATATAATATTCATTTTGAAGTAATTGATAAGGGAATAAAATGTATTACTTTTATATATACTTTAATATATCTAATAAATTTTAATTTATATTTTACATCTAATTTATTAAAAACTATACTATACAATTATGAAATATATATATATATATATATATATAGCGTTTCCTCTATTTATTTTTAATATTTTTGCGATTATATTATAGGGTTTTTTTAATTTTCATTAAATAATATAAATAACGTTTGAGTTTTACAATACAACAAAGTTTTCAGAATCAAACTTTACTAATATTTAAATTAGAAAAACGATTGTAAATTAAAATATAAATATAAAGTAAGCAAATTTATGGTAACTGAATATAATATGAAATTTTATATCAATCTTATCGATGAAAATATTTTTAAAACTCAAAATATCACTCATTATAAAATGACGATATAAATATCAATTACATATAATTTTATTTTTAAAGTGCCATTAAAAAAAAAAAAGAACAAATATACGTTTGAAATATATTTATATAGTCATAATTCACAAATTGTATGGATATTAAATATTTATTTAATATTATATTATGTGCAAAATTTATTAATATAATAATAATTTTAAATCATTAACTAAGTTTGAAGTTAAATAGCTGTTGTTATTAGAAAAATTTTAAAAATTTAAAAAATTTTCGGTTTACTCTCATTCTTAACTTCTAAACTTTCTATTCATTTACAATCAATGATTAAGAAATTTAATTTATCATAGCATATATTGGAGTATAAATTTTGTATCTTAAAAAATAATTATTTCTTTATAGACATTTTAATTCAGACATCATTTATAATGTTGCATAAATAAAAAGAGTCCAATAACTCATGATCATTGAATTAAAACTGCAAAGAGCTCGTGTATAGGAAATAGTCATTGATTTATGCATTTATTCTTTTATTAGAAAATATTTTCTAGTTACGTATAGAAGTACAAGTATATAAATAATTATTTTATTAGTTAGGCACGTTAGATTAAATTTAATAATATATTTTTATTTTAAAGGAAAACGATTTACAGAACTATAAGTAAAAACAATTGTCAGAACCACAATAAACTTTATCAGAAAATTTTCGACGAAGTGGTTTTGAGGTCTTTAATTGGTAGAAAAACTTTTAATAATAAAAATGAAAATAATACATAATAATCAATGATTAATTAATTATTTCAGTAATATAAATTAGTCAGTAATTAAATTGAAAAACAAATAATGAATAATAATCAATTAGTATTAAAAAAATTGGGTATTCAATAATTTAAAAAAAAATGACAAATTTCTAATTATATACATATTTCAAAAAATTCAAAATTATTACGATAGATAATAAAAGTTTTCGTAATTTTTTTAAAAATGCCTTTACGTATTATTAAAAATATTATAGGATGAAAAGTAAGAGAGAGGGAGCCAGTTGGCGGAGAGAGAGAGAGAGAGAGAGAGAGAGAGAGAGAGAGAGCGAGAGAGGGGGAGGGAGAGAGGTAGGTAACTTTATTAATACATAGCTAGATACGTCTGTTTTTCTTTCGTAATAGTATAAATTGGATGAATTTCAGATACTATTTTTAAATATATAATTAATAAAGCAAAAAGTAAAAAAGTATTAAAAAAATATTCATTTTTCAGTAATGCAATATTAACTGATAAAGGTTTTTAATAAAATTTAAGAAGCGGGTAAGACTATTCACTGTTTAATACAAAAATCTGTGTACGTGATAAATAATAAAAATAAAAATAATATGGTTTAACTTCAGTAAAAATTCAGAATTTTCTTGTGCAATATACATCAGTTTATTATACTTTTATATATAATATATAATATTTAATATATAATATATAATATAAACGCCATATACTTTACAATATTTATTTACAATGTGTACATGATTACCTATTCACACATTTTACATGACAGACGCCATTTTTCTTTATTTATTATATGAACATCATTGCTTTTTATACAAATATAATACACGCGTTCTCCTTTATCACTACAAAAATCTCGTTTCATTCCATTTAATATGTATTATGTCTCTGCTTCTTCTATCTCAACTTTAAAAATTCGTTAGATAATGTAATAATGAAAAAAAAAAAAAAAACAAAGAAAAAATAAATAGTATTCCTTAAGCAGGTACGGTTTTACGATAAATATTTAGATTAAGCACAAATTATAAAAAGTTCTTAAAAATCACATAAATAATTGTTATTTACCTCTAATTGATCATTATATAAAACAAACAAGATTCGATGGAAAATTACGATAGAAAAGATATCGATTTTTAGAATAATTAGTTTGAATTTGAAACAGAAGAGGCCTAATAATTATATAATATTTTCTAAACGTTACTTTATAGTACATTTTTATAAATTACAAAAATTGACAAAGTGTAGATTTTTTTCATTAATTAGGATCTTATCGTCTCTTGCACGCAGAATTCCGTTTGAAAAATATATCTTTTTGTTCCTTTTTTTTTTAATGTAAAATTTCGCTTTATCTCTCTTATTTACGTGCAAATACATCCACACGACTTTTCTATATAACGGAAAATCACTGGCATACAACATAGCACATGCAGGTTATTCATCAGGTTGTTGACTGTTTTAATGACGCAAGATCAGCCACTCGTACTTTCTCTGTTTCTTTTTCTATTTCAATCTCTCCTCCTTCTCTCTCTCTTCTTTAGCTTTTTTCGCTTACTCTCTTTCTTCTATCACTTTCTCTCTCCCTCTCTCTCTCTCTCTCTCTCTCTCTCTCGCGCTGTCTCCTTATATCTCACTCTGTCACTCTGTCACACATGCTCACACACTTATACACATATTTTCTTTTATATATATATATATATATATATATATATATGCACATTTATATGAGTATGTAGATATTGTAGTGTATATACATCTAGGTATATGTACATGGCAGCAGTTTACGCATTTACGTGCGACGTGAGTGAGAGATCGGCAATACATGCATGCTCATTTGGATTTATGTACCTACGCATGTGTGTTATATGTATGAATTGTATTCCGTATGTCCATATGTACGTCGCATACAAGCCCACGCACTCTTACTAATACATAAAAACATTCATATATAGATATAATTGAATGTTTTTTACATTCCTCCATAACTATATATTACATTAAAGTATGTTGTATATCTACAGGTTGGGATGTGTGTGTATTTGCGTACGCGAGTATATATTATGTGAGTGCGTACATATCTGTCGGTACACATGTGTGAAATGCGTGTGCGCGCACGCGACTATATAAATCTATACCGGTTTTCTCGGCAGCCTTATTAATAAATTATACGCGTCCAAGGAGGTTCGGCTTCTTTGCCTATCTCGGGGCTTTCTCGCTCGCTTTTATCCTTCTCCGTCTTCCTTCCCTTCTTCTTCCACTTCCTCTCTCTCTCTCTCTCTCTCTCTCTCTATATATATATATATATATATATATATATATATATTTTTTTTTTCTTCGACTTTACAATCTTCTGGATTATCTTCTGCGCTGTTTCAGTTCTTGCGTTGGCAATTGGCGAAACCAACACATCTGTATATTTTCAAGGGGTGGTGTAAAAACAATTACTTATGTTCATGATAGTATTTAAAGTTGGTAAAAAAAGAATGATTATGCTAGTAAAACAATTTTGTCGTAATGAAAATATAAGTCATTAAGTCAATGAAATTAATGTCAAAATGGAAAATAAAATATTTTTTGTTCCATGTTCATTAAATTCTATAAATTGTGAATGCATTTATTTCTAATCAAATTAAATAAAAAAAATATTACGATTACAAACACTTTGTCGTGGCAAGAATAAGCTTCGTTGTAGACGTAAAAACATATTTTCTCATTCATTTCTTAATATCCTTCGCTTCTTAACACTATGTTACAAGTAATTACAAAATTTAAAAAATCATTAATCACTTTTATAATAAATATTATAATTTACAAAAATACGTTAACGAATGTCTTTGCGTTCGTTGCTATAAAACCTCGGAGAATGTGTGACAGCGTCAGATGTATTATCTCTCTCTCTCTCTCTCTCTCTCTCTCTCTCTCTCTCTCTATCTATCTATCTCTCTATCTCTATTTCTCTGCCTTGAAATCTCCTCTGACGTTTTCTCCCTCATGAGGTAAAAATAATTTTCTCTTTATGATGTTTTTGCCTTCCAAAGGCAAAGAATTATTCATTGCATTCAATACGGAAATGCAATTCCTTACTTTACAATATTATTTTTCTTCCGCGCATGAAAGCATAGTTTGATACGTCTTATTTAAAGAAAATACAAACAAACAAAAAAAAAAAAAAAAAAAAAAAAAAAAAAAACAAAAAAAATGGATCTTATTTTTTTCAACAAAGACACTAGAGGCACAGTTTTTTTCATTTTTTTTACTTCGCTTTGGTCGTCTCTTTCACTGATCTTGTCTTATATCAGTTTTAGGTTCTCGAGACGCAATATTTAAATTTATTTAATTATTAATTTATTACTTATTTGCACACCGCTAGACAGGCAATTACTTCTCATCTATTCATTCTAGTTCGCCTAGTCTTTGCAATAATATAAAACACAATAATCATTTATTTACCCTATGGCTATGGCTCTCTCGCTCGTTACATCGTAACATTTTATAAACTGAAGCTAAGCCAACATTAGGAGAAGGCGTTCCAATTATTAAAAATCCTAGACTATCATCACTATAACCAGACTATCATCACTATATCACCAGACCACTATTAAAACGTAATCAAACTCTTCAAACGGCCGTAGTTCAAAAGAGTTCCTGAGTTAAGAAGGTCAGAAAATTATGTCTATCTAAGGCTCCTTCAGCGGCAACCGCAGCCCAGTACCGACATGTCCTGATAATTCTTCAGCACAACCTTGTTTTCCTCATCCAAATACAGCATCGATATCGAGCCCAAAGACGTTGGCACACAGCACGCTTTCGGCACGAGGCTCGGGTTTGTCGAGTATACGAGGTTCTGGACGATCGCGTGATTCGTCGAATTGAGATGGTCGGCCAGAGGAAAGGGACAGTCGCCGTGACAGTAAAAGGCGTCGTAACCGGGCGGTGCCACGATCCAGTCGTTCCAGCCGACATCGGCAAAGTCCACGTACAGCGGATGCCTACGGCAGTTCTCCCTGCCATCCTTGCGACGATTCTTTCGAAGCGCGGCTCGTCGAGCTCTGCGCTCCATTATGTCACTCGCGCTTGACATCTTTTTACGACCGTCATCCGTGTAAGCATAGAGAGTCGGACGGACGCGCTGCCAGCTCTCGTGTTCCTCGTCGAGGCTCCGTCTCAGTCGCACGTGCTCCTGTCGACGATAAGGGCTTTTTCGTTTCGTCGCGTCGCCTATTACCTGTGAACATAAAACAATCGACGGGGGTTAGCTAGGGGGGTTAAGTCGACCTTGATCGTTGACAGTGTGATCGGGGCAATCGAATGTTAACATTGTCACATCGACTGTCGATTAGCGGCGTTTTTTACATTCGTACGACAGCTTATCTGGATGGAGGGGCCGTGTAGTGGTAGCACGAGGCTTATTCGACGATTAAATGATATTATTACGATAAAATTACTTGCTTAAATTACTCATTGGCTGCTGACGATAAATGTAATTGCAATAATTTCAGAATGTAATGTACGGTTAGAAATTCGTGACACTCGAACGAATAAAATTAATTGAATAAATAATCGATGTTTGGGAGCGTTTGGGAGCGTCGATTCGATGTAATCCTAAGGAATCCCGACAGCTGTATCACAGCCATTTCATGAAAAACGAAAAAGGGATAAATTAAAAATTGTTTTAAATAACGGTAGGCGAAATGCGAAAGACGTTAAATATTGTGTTCGTGTCGAGTGACCCTGAACTCTTACGAGATAAACATACGTTAGCCATTAGTGGTTAATTCGATCTTTTATTCATATTAGTCAAAATTGCACGCGAACAGCTCAGTTGCAACAGAATTGCGAAATATCTTTTACGGTCCCATAATCTCACTGGCTGATTGCGGTAAAGTTCCACGGGCATAAAACACTTGCTCATAACATAAATTAATATAAAAGTCTGCCGGAATTCTGCCGTAAATTTGCCATAAGAGACGCTTTTTTTCTTCCTTTTTTTCATTTTTTTTTTCTTTTACAATCGCATTAATTGATCGCCTGCCAATAGAGATACACTCGTACCTCCATATAAAGTATCTACGTTTTTATGAAAATTTGTAACCGGTTAGAGATACACACGATACACGTGGAAATAACCATGTAAAGTAAAATTTTATCTTCAATATGACCTACGGCTTTGCGGATTACCTATATGTAACGCCAATGGCAATTGACAAGTAAACGAGTTTTTGTAATTTTCAAGCTTTATGTAAAATCTAGTTATTACACGCGGGATGAAATTATTGCAATTATTACAATACAATAAATATCCCATCAATAATAACATGCAGCTATTTCTCGGAGTTTATAAAAATAGGAAATGAGCTGTCCGGTAGGTGCGACAAGCCATTTATTTTAACCACTGTCATTTATTAGCTTTCACCACAAGACGGATGAACATGTACAAACAATACCGAGCCGTTTCTAAGCGAGGAGCTGAGGAGACAAAAGCGAACACGCATTTGCATATGCATACCTGCACAAGAAGTCCATGATTTTGCGATTGCGCGGTTGTCTTTGAAAGCCAACGCTCGACCGCCGGGCGAACATCGAGGCTCACGCTCGCGTTCGATCTTATGTCGAGGATCTTACTGTCGATGAGCCGCAGCAGAGGTTTGCTTTTGCCTCTTATACCCGGTCGCACGATGTCGTGGACCATCAGCCGGACGAGCCTCGGCACCACGTCCCCGTCGATCTCGTTTGTAGTGATTTCGTCTTCGGGTGGCCTTCGCCGCTCCAGGACGACGCGGCTCAAGCTCAACTCCGCCGCGTGAAGTCGCTCGGCTTCCGGGACGCTGCTCACGTCGAACGACAACCTGAAGCGATGCGCCGATTTGAACTTCTCATCGAGATCACTTTCTGTAACAGAACGGAGCCACCACGGTTTCCCTTATTTTCACAGTTGACTTTATCATTGCTCGTTCATTATTATCATCAATTCACGCACTTAAGTTCACCTTATTTGGGATAGAGGTGGGGAAGAAAAAAGAAGAAGAAAAACAATGTGTGAACTAAGGTATACTTATCGCTAAATCGTAGCTTAGGATTGAAATAAATAAATATGCTAGTTTTATATGTGCAATGGTCATTTAACGATATTATGTCGAAAACAATTATTTTCAATTGAATTTTTAATAAGAAGAAAACATTTATCGCCAAAGTTTATTATTATTGTAACTTAGCGAATATAAGCATTTTAATTAATTACAACTTTAAAGGAAAATTTTTCAAGTATCGTATAAAATATGTCGATTGTAATCAATTTTTATTAAGTGGCTTTATATATAATAGCCAATTAAAAAAGCGTTTTATTAGCTTGCAGATAAGTAAATACTTATCCATAAAAATCCATTTCTCAAGATTAATATATAAATATTATTGTAGATAATTAAAAGCAAGTCACTAATTATTAGATTCATTTAATTTATGTTAATAATATTTAATCAATGCGGATATTCTTTTAAATTAGCCATGTTCCAAATTATTTTCACATTGAAGAAATTATTTGCCATATAGATTAATATTATAGAAAAAATTTCATTACCTTCAAATGATTGTTCATTAAAATATTCGGATTTAATATTATATAAATTTTTGCAATATTTTTGCAAGTTGTTTCAATAAAATTAACTCTTTGAAATATCCTGCATAAATACGATAATAAAATTAAAATATACCCAGACCGAGAGAGAGAGAGGGAGAGAGAGAGAGAGAGAGAGAGAGAGAGAGAGAGAGAGAGAGAGAGAAAATAGACACAATAATGTGTGAGAATTTGTCTGAATTATTAACATTTTTTTCTTTTTGTTATCGAAGGTCGTCGAAAAAAAAGATGCGTTGAATGATAATGTAATATCGCAAACAAAACTTTTGTGCGACGTATACACAAGATACGAAAGCCCAAAGGCGATATCATAATAATGAATGAATGAACAGTCGTTGATGTATATACGCACATCCCACATAATAGAAAGATAAATATAACAATAGAGAAATTATCGAGGAATGAGTGAGTTTTAACGTTGCTTCGGATAATTGTATATCTATATAAGACTTATTCAATTAAAAAGAAAAACTGATAAATATTCCAAGTTGCTAAGATCTTTCATGATCGTATATTTATCGGCGGTAATATGTTTCTCATAATTTTATATATTTCGCGAAGTTCGTAAAATTGGGAATCACAAAGACTTTATTAGATTCTTATTTTGTAATAGTAACAGATTAAGAATTTATAAAATGGAGTAATCGATAAAATAAAAAATTAAATCAATTAAAATTAAAAATACATTATTTACATATCCATAGTTACATTAGATCCTAAAAAAGTCTTACCATTTAGATTAAATGTAACAAGAAAGTAAATATAAGACTATTTGTGCGTTTGTTAATTGCGTACAATAAATTTATGAGAAATAAATTAGTACGATGTGATCTTTATTATTCGAAGCTTCATAACTTCGAGCACAATTACGTTAAGATAAATGTATTAATAAAATTTAATTTATTTGCCAATCCGCGACTATTGATAATAAATACGAGTGCCTAATTATTTCAATAAGGTAACAACGATAGACAAAGTAGAAGCTGCAAAAATTTGTGTATTGGCTCTTATTAATTAAAGAATAACTTAATAAAGGTATTACCCCCCCCCCTCCCCCCCACCAAGAGCCAAAATAAAATAAAAAATATATGGTAAGAACCACAATTAATCGATTAAAACAAATAAAAAATAAAAAAAATAAATAAAAAAAAAAAGAAATGAAAAAAAGATAAAAGTAAGCGATTGGGCAGCCGAACGTGGACTCGTATCGAGCACGATGAAAACGTCAAAATTGGCGTGGACGTTTTTGCTTAGGTAAGACACGACAGCAAGAAGCGGGGAGAGTCCGACTAAGAAAAGGACAAAAAGAATGGGCCCCCTCGGAGGGATGGAATCTCGACGGCGAGTAACGAAATCGGCCGCGTTCCCGACATTCCTCGGGCTGCGACCGCCGCATGCGTTTGCAAATCGATCACGCGATCTGCGGAATCTCGCGAGCGGCGGTAAAAGGAAGATGCAGTGGAAAGGAAAGAGGAAAATGTGGGGTTAAAGAAACGGGAGATAGCGGCTGAGGTGGGAATGAAGAAAGTTGCAATTGACAACGCATTTGGGGATGGGAGGCTGCGGTGAATAAGCGAAAAGATCAACTGTCGACGGGCGTAATACGGTGGTTTTATAGTAATGAGGCGCAATTCTTTTTACGTGCCTTCTGGACTTTTGTTTTATTGTTTCTCACAATTTAACGGAACCACATAGCGGGAGCAATTGGAATAAATAACTAAAAAAAACGATAAACAACCTGGTCTTGTATATTGTATTCGACCGGGGAATAATATTTTATTTTCTGTCAAATCGAACTTTTTATTCACGATTTATTAATGCACATGGATAAATAAATTATTATTTATTATTTATTATTAATTGAGAATTGTAAAAAATCAAATGGATAAATAAAATCTTACTCATATTTAATAACGATTCATATGTTTATTATCGATTAGTGAAAATTGACACACACACACCCATATATATATATATATATATATATTTTTTTTTTTTCTTCTAATTAATGGTAATGGAAATTTTAAATAGACCGCGACATTTCATAATTTAGTAATTTATTAATATTTATGAAAATCAAATTCACAAATAGTTACACTTTGAATAATATTCATAATATTCATATATATAATTTTCACGTTTTTATCGTAATATAATTACGACTGAAAATCTTATTTTCATTAAATTATTTGTTCAACATGTCTATAAATACGAATTGTAGAAGTTTGAAAAATTGTACTATTCCCTACAAAGATATTCTAGGGAGTAGAAGGGCAGCGAGAGAGAGAGAGAGAGAGAGAGATGAGGGTGGAGAGGGGATAAACTGCAAAAGAGGAGGAAAAAATAAGAAGAAGAGTCGGAGCCCCCATAAGTTCGGGGCAAATTGTGCAGTAAGCAGAATCCATTATCCGCTGATATAATATATTATCCCCGCTGCCTGGACTCGCGCTCAGGACCACCCCGGGAGCGAGCCAGTTTCATTGTTCCTCGCGATTTATGCGGCCGCAGACTCCTTTCCACCTCCTTCCTCCTCCTTCCACCACCTCCTCCTCCTCCTTCTTCTCCACCTCCTCCTCCTCCTCCTCCTCCTCCTCCTCCTCC